TTTCGGACGAATGCAAACGAATCCGAATTCCCGATTTCCCTAAATTCGTTAGCGGTAGTCCGGCCGAAATTCTTTTATGGACGGAATTCTTTATTGGACTAATTTCGTTGCAGCAAAATTACATTAGGGGGGGGAAAAAAAGACAAAAATAATTTAAAAAAATGTTTCTAATGTAATTTTGCTGCAACAAAATTTGTTAGCGGTAGTCCGGTCGAAATTCTTTTATGGACGAGATTCGTTATTGGACGATTTTCGTTGCAGCAAAATGATGACATCAGGAAAAAAAATGTAATTCCCCCCCCCCCATGTCATTTTGCTGCAACGAAATTCGTCCAATAACGAATTTCGTCCATAAAAGAATTTCGACCAGACTACCGCTAACGAAGTTCGTCCGAAACGAATTTAATTTCGGACTCGAATCCGAAAAAGAAAATAATGCAAAGTCCGAATCAAAACGAAACTAAACGAAACAAATTATTATTTTTTGTTTCAAAAAGAAACGAAACTAAACAAATTTTTTGCTGGTGCACATGTCTAGTACTGACTATGATCAGAAACTGGTACTGGTTGTAATCAAATACCGGTAATAGTACTGGTGGAATCAGTCACTGGCACTGATTGTGTACGCTGGCACTGATACCTGTTGTGATCAGACACTGGTAATGGCTGTAATCAGTTTCTGGTACTGACTGTGATCAGACACTGGTACTGACTATGATCAGATACTGGTACTGGTTGTAATCAAATACCGGTAATAGTACTGGTGGAATCAGTCACTGGCACTGATTGTGTACGCTGGCACTGATACCTGTTGTGATCAGACACTGGTAATGGCTGTAATCAGTTTCTGGTACTGACTGTGATCAGACACTGGTACTGACTATGATCAGATACTGGTACTGGTTGTAATCAAATACCGGTAATAGTACTGGTGGAATCAGTCACTGGCACTGATTGTGTACGCTGGCACTGATACCTGTTGTGATCAGACACTGGTAATGGCTGTAATCAGTTTCTGGTACTGACTGTGATCAGACACTGGTACTGACTATGATCAGATACTGGTACTGGTTGTAATCAAATACCGGTAATAGTACTGGTGGAATCAGTCACTGGCACTGATTGTGTACGCTGGCACTGATACCTGTTGTGATCAGACACTGGTAATGGCTGTAATCAGTTTCTGGTACTGACTGTGATCAGACACTGGTACTGACTATGATCAGATACTGGTACTGGTTGTAATCAGACAGTGGTACTGGTGGAATCAGGCATTGGTACTGGTTGTGATCATACACCGGTACTAACTATTATCATATGCTAGTACTGACGGTGTTCACAATACTAAAGGGTTTATAATAATAATGATAATAATAATAATCATCTTCATCATGCCCAGAAAAGAAACACAGATAGTGAAAATTGTTGCATCCCCTTACACTAGTGGTCTGTGGAGAAATGTCCCATTACTCAATTAATCAGTGTAGGTCACCCTTACCTTGGTGATCTTTGGAAAAGTACCCACTTACATCGGTGCAGTGTAGTGACCTGTTGCTGTAGCTGCTTACCTAATGGCCATCTAAAACTACATGTCCATCTAACACTGCCCTGTCCACCGGGTGACAACTGTGCTCACAATTGCATTGCACAATGAACAGTGTTGTCACTCTGTTTAAGGACAATTAATAATTAACAGATCTTCTGGTAGGATCAACAGATAATAAAATGATGTTACGGGGAAGGGGGGGATGTTGGGAAAACTAGAACCTGATAGACTGCATCACACATGTATCTTTTGTTTTTTTTAAATGTAGCCCATCATTTTGTGTATTGAAGTCTGAATCAGCCAGAAAACTAACATTTGGAATGCAATGAAACCTGGAATGCAATGGTAGTCTACATTTTTTTACAGTATGTGCTTTTTAAAGCTGAAGTGAACTTTTAGTTTAAATCAGGAAAGTACATTCCAAGGTGCGCAAAGTACATTCCAAAAGGTGCGCAAAGTCTTACAGTAATTTTCTTTCAACACCAGCCACAGCCTGAGTAGAAAAGCTGCCCCCTGTCCACATGCTGCAGAGAATGACTCTTCCTCTCTGTGTGGAAGCAGTTATCCCTCTGGAGAGGTCGGACACCTTACTGAGTCAAAGCCATAGCTCTGCATTCACCAATGTCCATGATCCCTGCTGATTGGAGAGCTCTAGCTCTGACTCAGCAGGAGGTGTGTTGGATCTTTGCAGAGAGACCACTGCTTGCACACAGAGAGCAAAAGTCCCTCTCTGCAGCATGGTGACAGGGGGCAAGCCTGTGGCTGCTTTTTAAAGAAAAACAAGTAGAAGACCTTTTTTGTTCACCTATAGTGCATATAGCTGTGATTTAACTGAGAATTCTGTTGGGCATTAAGACTTTGGGCAAATCATAATATCTGCACTTCGCAGGATAAAAGTACACTGTACCACAAGCAAATAAAAACACAAAGGTTGCTTTTATTATTTTTAATTTGGTCTCATTCACACTGGCAGTGACATGCATGCATCTATGTGTTTGTATGACATTTCTAAATGCATCTAATGGTATAATTCACACTTTGCGTTTAGCTGTGTTCAGGTGCGTTTAGGAAGAATTCTATGCATCCAGCGGCATATTAGATACTGTGAACGTGTGTAAATGTGTGTAAGTGGGAGAACAGGAGAATGCAGGAGAACTTGATCTGGGAAGAGAAAGGTTTGTTTATACTTCCCAATTTCTCCTGTGTTCTAGCCAGATTAAAGGGTTTCTAAACCCTCCGTTTTTTTTTACCTATATCTACTGTTAGCAAGCAGTAGATATATGCAAAAAGTTTTTAAAAAACCTGCTTTAACAGCGGTTTAAACTTACCCCGTTTTCACCGCGCGCTCCCGCCCGAGAATCCAAAACTGCTCGGGCAGCCGCAAAACATCCTGGGGCGGGCGCATGCGCAGTTCGGATTTTTGGCTGGGAGACGAGCAGAGACGCAAGGTAAGTCTGTGGACGCGTGCACCCGCATGCAGACACCATGGGATCGGAAGTGCCTGCAAGGACAGAGGAGTCAGCGCTGGATCGTAGAGCCGCCGCACAGCTGGAGGGACAGATGAAAACATCAGGAAAGAAGAGGAAGATCAGAATAAGAGACATCATTTAAGGTAAGTGCTGATATTAACATTGGGGGGGAGGGGAAAACAATTTTTGACTTTATAAATGTCACTTTAAGGGCTTGTTCACACCAGTTACAGTGCGTTTCAGAGTGGTTAGCTGCAGGAACACACTGTGTCGCATACTAAAGTACCCTCTGCGTTCTGGGGCAGGAGGGGCCAAGGCGGTGCATTGAAGTCAATGACACTGCAGCCACGCCCCCTGCCCGCAGTGCAATCGCCCACACCAGAACGCGCGGCACATTAATGCCTGCGTTCCGGTCCAGTGTGATCAGTTAAAACAGTGCATGCAGCATTTTTCCCGATCGCACTGGACTAGAATGCAGGCATTAGTGTGCCATGCGTTCTGATGCGGGCGATCGCACTGCAGCCGGGGGGGGGGGCGTGGCTTTGGTGCCATTGATAACGGATTTTTCTTCCATAACAGGAACAAGGTCAGGGCTTTTTGTAATCTCCGGCCCAGTGTGTACTTACCGTGACTTTCACACCGAGGAGAAATGGTTCTGTGAGCATCCTGGGGGGTTTCCTTCACTGCGTACCTCGAACACTCTTCTAGTGTCCGTTATGCTATTTATGTTTATCTACCCGGAGTGGAACCAGTGACATTGTGATAAGGGTGTCCATCCCCTCCTAAGAAGGAAACTGCGGTAAGAAACCTAATTTATGGGTCTTTTTTTCAGGTGAGCACCCCTCTGCACATTAGTACTCACCTGGTGTGGATTGGAAGACTATCTTGGCTGTGGCTCTTCAGAATATCTCCTAAGACTGACGATCAGCCATTGAAGCTTCTTTTTATGTCACTTTTAGATTTTCTTCACATTGAATTTGATTTTATATGGACTTTACTGCTCTGTCTAGCACTTTTTTCATGACATTCGGATACCCAGAGCTTAGCATGTGACTCTGAAGATTTATGCACCGATATAGTTTCAGTTCTGTGATTGATGTATTCACCTATATGGAAGCTCACCTGATTGTAACTCGGCACATTATTGTTTATTTATCAGTTCCTGAGACTTGCCCAATCGGCCCATTCGGGAGTGTAAGTTAGGTCTAAATAGACAAAACGCAGGAGGCTAGTGTCAATGCAGCATATGGCACCAGTATGGTCTGTATTATAATTATTATTATAATACAGGATTTATATAGCACAGTGCGCAGCGCTTTACAATGTAAGGAAGACTTTGCAGTTACAATACAAATCAAGACAAGTAGGTCCCTGACCCTGAGAGCTTACAATCTAAAAGGTAGTACTTTAAAAAAAGGACAAGTCACAACAAGGCCATGTAGTAAATAATATTCCGTGAATTAGAACAAACAGTGACAAGTTTCTGCCCAGAAGAACTTATATATTTTCATAGTTCATAACCCAATATATTTTCATATTACATATAACCTAGGCCAATATATTTTCATGTTACATATAACCCAGGCCAATATATTTTCATATTAGATATAAACCAATATTTAATATTGCATGTAATAGCAATATAAAGTTCATAATAATCCATCCCATTAGATGATAAATTACCAGTGCATCCAGTGTTATAAATATGGATTGCTCATCCCATTGTGACTTGCCCGACTGGTGCAGGTTCCCTGGCACTGGGCACCCCAGCCCCGATGTGTGCATTGTCTCAGCACCTCTTCCAGTTCTGCTTCCGGAGGCGATGATTTGCTGCAGATGACATCAGACGTGGATGCTGGAAAATAGAGCAGCAGCTAACGTGATTCTCCTCCCAGGGTCCCAGCCCAGACTCTCCATATAAAAGGCAGCCCCACTCCCCTCCACGGCTCACTCCCTGTCTGCTCTCAGCTACTCTACCGAACGGAGCGGCCGGGGAGACAAGGATGGCAACTCTGGTGGAGCCGGGGCCGGACACTGAGCCCTCCAACAGCATCCTGAACCCCACTTCTACCTCCCCCAGCCTGTCACACAGATTTCTAGACAGTAAATTCTACCTGCTGGTGGTGATCGGGGAGATAGTGACAGAGGAGCATCTGAGGTGTGCCATCGCCAATATAGAGAGAGGTAAGGCGATGAGCCATCCCTGCTGGTCGGTGGCTGCCTACTGGCTGGCAGCAATGCATGCGGTGTGTGCCCAACCCGGATACATGGTACAGGTGTCAGATCTGCTGCCAGGAGTTACATGGATCATATAGGGCAGTATTGCTGCATTGCTTGTATAGGGCAACGTTGCTACATTGATCATTGAGAGCACATTGCTACATTGATTAGAGGGAAACATTGCTACATTGATCATGTAGGGCTACGTTGCTACCTTGATCATTTAGAGGACATTGCTACATTGATCATATAGGTCTACACTGCCCATATAAAGGATTATTGCTACACTAATCATACAGGGGAACATTGCTGCATTGGTCATTTACAGAAAATTGATCATTGGGGGGCGGAGAGGGGGGGGGGGGGGGAGGCATTGCTACATTGATGAATATAGAATATCGGTGCATGGATCGTTTAGAGAACATTGGTCATTTATAGAACATTGATCATTTGGGACATCATTGCAATATTAATCAATTATAGAACATTGATGATTTAGGGGAACATTGTTGATTTGGGGGAACATTGCTGCATTGATCATTTATAGAACATTGATCATTTGGGGAAACATTGCTACATTGATCATTTATAGAACATTACTGATTTCGGGGGAACATTGCTACATTGATGATTTAGGGGAACAAAGACAATGTGATGCAGCCACTCCCTTTTTCTCCTGTACAGAGTATGTGGTGGGCTGCAGATCTAACAGTTGTCAGCCCCTCCCACTGCTGCCTCATTGAGATCGGGCTCAGGATTCTGCATGACATGCTTAGTATGATCCACCATACACTCCCTATACATGCTTTATATCTGTGGGTGGGTCGGTGCTGCTGGCCACCCTCCATGCTTTTTCTGCCAGTGACGTTTCTCTGGAATAAGAGATTGTTATATGCAGGCTGGAAAATAAACTTTGTGCCTGATTACTCAGAAACATCTGGATCCCCGGTGTATGGATCTCCTCTCTGCCATGGAAGCACATGGGCGCATGCTGCACACCCCACCCAGAAACAGCAGCCATCCGTTCACACTAATGGCTCAGAGCTGAAAATGTCAGCTGATTGCTTTCTATGGGGGTGTGATGCGCACCAATAGCTGTCACAATGCTGGGTAATGGATCCTCCTGCTGTATAGAGGCATGATTCAGCACACACGTGTTGGCGGATCAGTGCTGTAATGTGGGGTGGCAGCCATTCATGCATTGCATTGATGAGCCCTTTGCCCTTGCAGCAGAGCAGCCTGGCTGGTGTAATGGCACTGGCAGAGCGATGCCGGCTGGTGGGCGTGGTGCAGTCCGCAGTGCGGTCCCTACGGCTGAGTATGGCAGCACACAGCGGACAAAGAGGGATCTACAGGCAGCACCGAACTGTCACCGATACTCCATACAATCTGCTGTCTCATTCACCTGTGTCATCATCATCATCATCATCACACTGCATGGACTTTATAGATGCAGCATACGAAGATAGATGGATAGATAGATATATAGATCGATCGATAGAGAGATGGAGATAATTGTGCTTTATCCTCAGTATAATATTGATCCTTAGTAATAAAGCATTGTTCTATGTATACTTATTATTCTTACCAGTTCTTTAGCTGCTTGCTATTAACCTTTCCTACTCTGGAAATGGAAACTGATCATCATCATTTTTCTATTAGCTGCAAATCTCAAAATAAATAAATGTACCTAAATATTTAGAAATCCAGAAAAAAACCCCCAGCAACATTCATTTATTGTACAATATTATGAACACACCCTGTTGTGTCATTTTTTGGGGACTGAGATGAGTCATAGAGCTCTGCTAAAAGTAACCGGCCATGTAATGTATACATTTTATGTCTGCAGCTGTCATGCCTCCTTAACATGCCCAGTTTTCTTTTCTTGAGCTGCTTTGGAATAGTATCAATAATAACATGATGATGCTAATAACTGTTCACATTTTCATACAGTCATAGCATTTTAGTTATAATCCTGGGCCCAGGTTAGCGGTGGGTGGTTTCTGTTAACCAAGGAACTACAAGTAGCAGCATGGCACGCCAGGTGGCCTAGCAGTTGATTTTCATATATAAAAAATTATAATAGCTGCGATTATTATTATTATTAGTAGTACTAGTATGATTATTCAGGATTTATAGTGCCAACAGTTTGCACAGTACTTTACAACACATGGGGAGACAGTACAATCACAATACAATGCCATACAAAATGATTAGAGGGCCCTGCTTGTGAGAGCTTACAGTCTACAATGTGATGTGATGAAAACAATTATCTGTGTGTCATCTTCTTCATGTCTCAAAAAGAAACCATGACCTCAGCTGAGTAGATGGTCAGGCCACACCTTTGTTGTGTCTTTATGTGAGAAGATGGACAGTGACACTAATGGCAGCTTGTTATATGCGCCTATAGGCTCAATTCACAAAGGAAACACACCAGGATACAGATCTTTTCTTATTTTTACATTTATTTTCAGCCTAATAGGATTTTCCTATCAATGAGGTGTGGCAATTACAGTCATGTGGCTGAAAAAAAGCTTCTTCCTTATCCTTGTGTTCAAGCTTTGTACATTGAGCCCTGTGGCTGCTTGTATTTTCATTGATGTTCCTTGTAGTATACACTGAGTGGCCAGATTATTATGACCACCCCGTCAGTACTTCGTTGGGCCACGAGATAACTCCACGAGATGACTTAGTTGGGCCGCCTCGTGACTCCACGAGATGTTGAAAGGTGATGCGAGGAACCTGACACTGCACTGTTGCCCTTCTGTTGTCTTGTACCAGTCTTGCCACTCTCCGTTCTGCCCTAACATTGACTAGTCGCTGGCGGCCACAATTCGCACGTTCAGACCCAGATTTTCGGCTGACAGTCCAGTCTTTAAACACTTTAACAACAGCTGCTCTTGAACATTTAACGAATTCTGCTGTTTTGCTGATACTCGCTCCATGGCTCCGAGCGCCAATAATCATCCCACGTTCAAAGGCTGTTAAATCGCGTTGTTTACCCATAGCTTCAGAAACAAAATAACTTCTACTGTCGTGGTAAACAACCTGCTTCCCTATTTATAATGGTCTGGCCCTCTAGCAACTTCAGCACAAAATTATAGCTAATTTGCCTAATAATATGGCCACTCAGTGTATATATATATACTGTATGAACCATGTTTATTTCCTGAGGATCAACTGTTGGCAATCCAGTGCAGATTTATGAAAAAGTATTTTAGCAGAAGCAGTGCAGGCCAACATGTATAGTGGACATATAAAATACATAAATGAATATCTATGTATAAAGATGTATGATTCAGTACACACACCATAGCTCCCAAATGGACCTCATTGGGAGAGTGTGTGCCTTTTTTAAAGCAGTTTCCTCTTTCCCTTTTTCTTCCCCCATTGTTCTTCTATTTGATCTGATGTATAAACATCCATAGAAATGTAGTTATTAGCTAATTATGCAGAAATTTAAACTTACAATCATTTATTGCTTGTCATCCAAGCAATAAATGATTGCCATTTTTATTTTCAAAAGCCAGTACTAAGGAAAAGAAGTGAAAACAAGCTCTTGTGGTTTAACAGTCATTTTTTGCATATGGCGTCACAGGGACATGTCCTGTGTTTAAATGCTTTGAGCTAAAACGTGTCTTTTTCTTCTCAGAAAGTCGGGAGGTATGCACCCATGTTCTTTAGTGTTTCTGCCAGTATAAAATTAAAATGATAAAATTATGTTATTACATGTTCACATGTACAATGTACAGATAAAGTACTTTCAGTAAAACGACCTTCAAAGGGCAAACGTGTTTATAGCAAATTCCAGCATTGGAAATTACCTACCATTTAAATAGGGAAATATAACCCTGTACATCCATTCAGTAGAAGTCCCCTATCATGTTGCTTGGCCTGTTCAGTGCTGGCACTGTGTTTACATAGGCTGTGACCCCTGTACGTCTTGTAGGGGTGGACATCTCTGTACAGCGTCGCCACTGTTTTTACATTGCCGTGACCCCTGTACGTCCAGTAGGGGTAGACACCTCTGTACAGGCCAGCACAGTGGTTACATTGCCTGCGACCCCTGTATGTCCAGTAGGGTTGACACCTCTGTACAGTGCCAGCACAGTGGTTACATTGGCTGCAACACCTGTACGTCCAGTAGAGGTAGACACCTCTGTACAGCGCCAGCACAGTGGTTACATTGGCTGTGATGCCTGTACGTCCAGTAGAGGTAGACACCTCTGTATAGCGCCAGCACAGTGATTACATTGGCTGTGACGCCTGTACGTCCAGTAGGGGTAGACACCTCTGTACAGCGCCAGCACAGTGGTTATATTGGCTATGATGCCTGTACGTCCAGTAGTGGCGGACACCTCTGTACAGCACCAGCACAGTGGTTACATTGGCTGCGACCACTGTACTTCCAGTAGGGGTAGACACCTCTGTACAGCGCCAGCACAGTGGTTACATTGGCTGTGACGCCTGTACGTCCAGTAGGGATGGACACCTCTGTACAGTGCCAGCACAGTGGTTACATTGGCTGCAACCAATGTGCGTCCAGTAGGGGTGGACACCTCTGTACAGCGCCAGCACAGTGGTTACATTGGCTGCAGGCACTGTGCTACCAGTAGGGTTGGACATCTCTGTAGGGATGGATATAGGGGTGGTGTCTTTTCCAGTTTGGTTCATAACAACTATTGGCTATCTGGGTATAGAGCCTGCTTCCACTCTGTAGGTACTTGCTACTCCTCAGTGTGCAAGAGTTGCAACAGATGCATGCTGTAGGCAACTCCCGTTGAGGCCGAAACACGCTGGATGAAGGTAAGGGTTAAATTTAAAGGCAATGCAAGCTGGGTTATTTTCTATGCTGGACTTTGTGATAAAACTGTACTTATCCTTTAACGTTTATAGGATCATCACTTCCTGGAATTTGATATGTAAAGTACAATATATAGGTTTTTGGTGTTAGCAGCAGCCAG